TCTCCTTTCATAAGACAGGTTTTCCATTCGTTGTCTCTTTCATCAACAGAAGTTGACCAATAAAAGATAAACTGTAACAACGTGGCATGCACCTCTCACGAGCTCCCCTTCTGGTCGGGTGTATTTGCAGTCTTTAAACAGTCCCAGGCCTGGCATCGGGTCGGGTCATACCTCCAGGGCTTCCTCCCTGGAGGCAATGGTTTTTGCCTCTTTGGAACCTTCTGACCCCAGCTGGGCCATTGAGTAGTTCAGATCCCCTTCTGGGAGGTTTATCATTATCTAATTGTGGGCCACTTCCCCAGTGGCCTACAGGGGGACCCAGGCCTGCCCTCTACTCCAGGTCCCAGCCCAGGGACCCTAAGAATAGCAGCCACCATTGTGAACCTATACAAAAAATACTTTCAGATCCCTGGGCCACTTCCCCTCAGCCCCAGTCTTCACCAATGCTTCACCCTGACCTCAGGGCAAAGGTACTTTCAGGCCCAGCAGCCAGCCAGGAGCTTGGTCTCGGTCCCCCAGTCCCTGCCAGCACTGAGCTGTCTGTGATGCTGCAGTTTCCTTTGGCCAGCCAGGAGCACCATGTGTACTCCTCTGGCTCCAGCAAGGAACTGAGTATGGTCTGCACTGCAGCTCCTTTTAATATTGCCCTCCTGGGCCCTGATTGGCTGCCCTCTGCAGCCACTCTAGGCTGCTTAGAGGACTCCTTTACTGCTCCTTTCCTGGGACTGGTGTGGCAGGATTCTGAGGCTTTCAGCAGAGAGCCTCTGGGCCTAGTGCACCCCATAACACTCACCCACCTTGTCTCCTTAATATTATCTAACTACTTTCAGTTTGACCTCCCTGGACCTGCTTAAACAATTCCTCGCCCACTGGTGTTTACACTTTACAAGTATGAGTACAAACTATACAAAGTTAGCTTTTATCTTTTCTTTTAATCAGTCTCTCTAGAGACTTATTTACTGCCTGAATTCATTCCTGCTTCCTGGCATATTTAGTATCCCGATACCTAGCACCAAATATAGTAGAGAAATCTTACACCCTTAGCTTGCCTTTATGTTAGTACAGTATGATGAGCTCCAAACACCACTAGACCATGCTACACCACATGCATTACAAGTTCAAATACATGTTGCCCACTTCTATCTCAGGCCAAGATAAAAAAAAACCCAGAAATCTAAAGTGAGCCAGATTTTCAAAAGTTCTGAGCAGTGTCCAGCGATGTCAATAGAAGGTGCTGGACGCTCAGCACGTCTGAAAATCAGGTTCCTTCGTTAGATGCCTGAACATTGATTTAGGAGCCCGACCTTTGAAACTCTTGGCCATGCTGTGCTTCGTCTGAAAAGCAGAGGATGAACTCTTGTTTTAAGTGTAAAGTAGAGTCTGGTTTGAACTAGGCATCTCTGCCACTAACTACCCCATAATAGTGGCTCCAAAGAGCGCAGTATCTGAGCGCATCATAGACATTCATGGATTTAGGCTCTCAACACCCCTGTGACATACGGAGGGAATGATACCCCCATTTTACAGATGGGGAAATGAGGCTGATTGTCAGATGTGCTGAGCATCCCCAACTCAAGTCAATGGGATCTGCAGCTCCACAGAACTTCAGGCCCCAACGACTGGTCCAATGGCACACAGAGAATGCATGGCAAGACCTCGAACTGAACCCAGATCTCCTGAGCCCCATCCCATAAGCCCACCTTTGGCCAATTGGTAGTTGTCTAATGAGTATGTTAACTAAGACCAAATCTATTCCTGAGTCCTGGCTCACACCTTGAGACACCTCTCTCCATTCTATACTCAGCCATTCATCATCACTCTATGTTACTCACATCGCTTGCACCCCCTTTTGACACTAGCTATATAACGACGTGGCCATGTTAGTGGAGAAGTGTGTCAGATACAACAATACGCTCCTCTGAGCGTTCCTGCAGAGCAGACAAACAGTACCTTGAAGGGTCTGAAGAGCAGGTAGAGCTCCCGCGGTTTGATGTCCAGGGGAAGGCCGCTCACAAAGAGAGTCCGGACCTAGAAATCAACAAAGACAAACAAGCAATTGAGATACGCATCCAAAATCTACTGCAGGCTTTGAAATTATCCAGACAATCCATATGAGGAACCTAATTAAAGCTCGCTTCAGGTGTAAACACAGATGTCTCCTACAGCCTGGTGGGAAAGGAGAGAGATGCACTAGTAAAGATTCTTTTGACCTTTTCCTGAAGAGTTTTAACACACAGTTTGGAAGAGCTCTGAAATTTGACAGGGGACTGTTCCTTGGGTCATGAAGGTGCCTTTTGCTGGCCTCGGGTGGCTGACAATGGCCATTGCTGGTCTGAGGTTCACACGGTATAGCTTGTTTTTGGCAGCACATGAAAATCCCTCAGCATTATGAAGACTCCTGGCTGACAACTCCATACTTCAGGCTGAGTTCTAAATTGGGCTTGAAATGGGTCATGAATTCCTGGTTTCCCCTAAAAGTAGATGGCCAATTGGCATTAAATTCCGCACCAGATTCGTTTTTATGGTCCTTTGATTTTCTATACAGTTTGTTTGGTTCTTCCATCTAGATTTTAACGGGAAATCTTTGAGCAACACAGCTACTGCTTTAAACACATTGTTTCTCCACACAGCACTTTGAAGAGAGGTGGGTCCTGAGTCGATCTTGTGCAACAGCTATTTAAAAAACAGAATTTGGACTGATGGTCACTTTTAACTATTATTCATGCTAGGACTGAACATGTATGTACTGTGCACCTAACCCTGATTGAGCACAGCTGGGCACACACAAACTTGATTGTCTGCCTGGGGCCAGGCGCATGCAAAACCTTCTCCATCAGGAGCTACACTTTTCTTTCAGACGTTATCCTACAATGGAGAGGTTTTCATCTGCAGCTGCTGGTGGATAAAATCTTCTCCACCAGCAGCTGCACTTCTCTCCCACTCCCCTAGAGGTGTAGCCCCCTCCTATCCAACCCCTCTCCAATTCAAGCATTAAAAAAACCTAGAAAGTTAATACACAAAAATCTGCACCCTTAACTCTGCCCGTAGAGATGCCAGCCTTCGATCAGACCTCTTCACTGCCATTCTGTAACACCCCTTTGCCAGGCTACCATCTCCAAGCAGAACCAGCTACTACACCAACCGCCCACAACTCTGTACTGTAATCTGGGAAAGGGGTGTGCATGATGAATGGACAACGGGAGACAGAGTCATGGCTACAGGGCGTCTGTGGTGGAGGGTATCTGTGGTCATGGTAAGATGTGTGCTTGTATTATTATGTTTATTATCTGTATTACAGTAGAGAGTCTGTACTGTTGGATGGCTTAAATTTCCATTTCCTTGCTTTTGTGTATTTCACAATTTGTGTATTTTGTGTATTTGCTGGGTGTGTAATCTCTCTAACTGGCTCACGATGGCATTTCCCGTGTATTCATCCCATCAGCACAGCCCAGGCATGGCCCCGTTTAGCATTCCACACACAACCTGGCAGCTGTTAGCCAGGACACAAACCTGGATCCTCCTCTTCCAAGGCAGCTGCTTACCCCATCGCAGCGCTCACTGGCCACGGGGACGTACACTGTGCTGGGGACCAGCGGCCATATTCCCAAAGGAATTGAGGCCCCTCAGAATGCAGACAGCTGCTGAGTGGGACTTTCAATGGCACCTAAGCAGATTAAGGCCCCTAACTCACGGGCTTTTGGAAATCCTACTACACTCACTGCTGCTACTGATCCTGCTCCCTGCACAACTCTCAGTGCTGGGCAAGACCTCCTGGGCTACCCAAGCTGGGACTAGAAACCCACTCGCTCATATGGCAGACCCAAGTCTCAGCCTTTTAACCACCCTGCACTCAGCAAGAGTGGAAAGTGTTCTCGCAGGGAACGTGGAAGGGGGCTTGCCAAGCCCTAAGACTACACATGGGGTGTCTTCAAAGGCCCCGGTTCTCTTTGTCTGCTCCAGCGGCTTTCCCCTAAGGTGCGCAGCCACCACAGGGGTGAGGGCGGTATAAGAATCTCTATGGAATGGAATAAAACAGGGGTACACCCTGCCTGGGTTCTGGCTCCACCTGGCCAGCTAAGAATGCCCCAGTATCTGGGAATTCTCAGTGGATGCGATGCTGGCATAGCTGGCTCCTGTGCCAACTTCCCCCGCTGGTACCCAGCATGGGAGTGGAGCGCCCCTGCGTAACTCCAGTCCAGTCCCTTGGGGAGCCACAGCTGGCTGCCACAAGCGAAAACAGCCTTTAGGCTGCTATAACTTATGCCAGGACCCTGCACCAAGCAACTCTTGGCATAGAAGAGAGTCTGGGCTATAGAATAATTCCCGAATGTGAACTGGAGCACACGGACAACAGCAAGATGCCCCTTCTGAAACGCTGTCATTCATAAGTAGGGCCCTACCTAATTCGTGGTCTAGTTTGGTCAATTTCACGGTCATAGGATTTTAAAAATTGTTCATTTCATGATTTCAGCTATTTAAATCTGAAATGTCAGGGTGTTGTAACTGTAGGGGTCCTGACCCAAAAAGCTGTTGTGGGGAGGTTGTGGTGCTGCTACCCTTACTTCTGTGCTGCTGCTGGCGGGGCGCTGCCTTCAGAGCTGGGCATCTGGCCAACAGCCACCGCTCTTGGGCCGCCCAGCTGTGAAGGCAGCGCAGAAGTAGCGGTGGCAATACCGTGACACACACCCTCCCCCCGCAACTCCCTTTTGGGTCAGGACCCCCAATTTGAGAAACACTGGTCTCCCCCGTGAAATCTGTATAGTATACGATGAAAGCATACAAAAAACCAGATTTCACGGGGGGAGACCAGATTTCACGGTCTGTGATGCGTTTTTCATGGCCGTGAATTTGGTAGGACCCTATTCATAAGCTAGTTGCACCGTAGCTACTGTGATTCATTCGTTGAAAACTCTGTACTGCTAAAAATCATCTTCTGCAGAGGTGCTACTCTACAGAGTGCAGACTTTCATTTCAGGATAGATTCTTCCCACACCGCCTGCAAAACAAGATGTTCCGGAGAATCTACAAGAAGAACCACTGTTTTGAAAACAATGTCCACTGGTTCTTTGAAGATTAGCCCCGAACAAGTTAATTTTAGTTCGCGTCCACACAGGGGAGATACAGCGCAGCACTTGGGTGCGTGCTGCTATTCACATCTCCAGAGTCCAAACTGCGAGGCAGTGTAGACATGCCCTGAGAAAGGCAAACCAAAATCACTTTGTGCTCCAAGAATGTGGAAGGGATCACGGTCAGTTTCAATGTTTTGAATGTGACTAGTTTTAAAACCCCACTTCTCTGATAGAGCAGGACTCTTTAAATTGCACGTCCTGATTTACTACAATTTCCTTTTAAAAACATTGCCAGGATTTTTCTGCAACGCTGTTTATGTTTAGAAGGTCTTTGGGCTGGGCCTGAGAGCAGGGACACAGCCTTAGCCAGGGTGCCCCATCGTAAAGATGAGGACAGCTCGAATGAATCTTGCTTCCAGAGTTCAGTATTCATTAGGAAATTAGAACCTACCCAATAAACCCATCGGAAGTCTTCAGCTCCCATCATTAACCCCTAGGAGTGTGTGACCAGCGAGGACTGTTGGAGTAACGGGGTCCCCCTGAGGACTGCAGCGAGCAGTCTCAGGGGTGGAGGAGCTTGCCGCTCGACCCCTGGGAGAGAGAAGGACAGCAAGTCGGACTGTGTTGGTGGATCATATTACTCTGAAATAATGCCCTGACAGTGTTCTGGCTAGATCACTTCTGTAGACAGGATCCCACCATGTTATAACCTCATAACCATCCTGTAGAGATTAGGTGCCCATGGTCTCCCTGGCAGTGAAATTGAGTAACTAAGCCCTGAAAGCCCCCTTTTTGTTCACACAATGGTATGTGATAATAGCCAAATCCTCTTCTTAGCCTGACTGACAGTTAGGGTATGTCTACACTTAAACCGCTGCAGCTGCACGCTGTAGCACTTCAGTCTAGGTTCTCCCATCGGCAGAGGTAATGCACCGCCCCGAAAGGATGGAAGAATTTCTCCATCGCCCTAGCACTGTCTACACCGGGAGTCGGGTTGGCGTAGCTACATCTCTCAGGGGTGTAGTACTTATGCAGATGTAAGTTCCCAGTGTAGACCAGCCATTGGCAAACGCGGTACAGTCCTTGTCCTTAATTCAAGGTACATCCTGACATTTAATCATGGAAAGATGCATTTTCAGCCACGCGTTTCTTTCCTCTCTGGGTGGGGAATCTCATCATAATCTGCTCCCTTGCTTAGGAGTCACTCGCATCTTCGTTGAAATCATATTTCAAATGTCTGCATGAAACACTCCTCTCTGAGGCTAGTTTGAAAGACATGAATCCTTGTTCAGAACACCCACGCTTCCCCAACCCTGAATTCGCTCACTCCCCCTGCAGCGCTCCACAGAGATTTGCTATCTGTGCCTTTCCTCCAGGCCAGGGACACTCAAAGACACACTCAAAGGATCGAAAAGCCAAGAGGGACAGTCAGAAGAGGGGGAATTGCACTTGAGATGCCCACCTTTTAAAGGGGAACCTTTGGTCCTTACATTCTGCTGGTCAAACAGGACAGGGCTATACTACAGGGGGGGAGGGATAGCTCAGTGGTTTGAGCATTGGCCTGCTAAACCCAGGGTTGTGAGTTCAATCCTTGAGGGGGCCACTTGGGGATCTGGGGCAAAATCAGTACTTGGTCCTGCTAGTGAAGACAGGGGGCTAGACTAGATGACCTTCAAGGTCCCTTCCAGTTCTAGGAGATGGGATATCTCCATTAATTAATTAATTACAGCAGACTTCCCCGCCCGTCAGGGAGCACGTAGGCCACTGGCTCGGGGACAGATTGGGGCTTCTATTCTTAGGTCTCCCAGCTCAGCTCTATTGTAGTCAATGGGCCAGATCGCCAGCTGATGTAAATCAGTTGTAGCTCCACTGGAGTCAATAGGTCAAATCCACAAACTATGTCAATCAGCCGGAGCTCCACTAGGCTGATTTACTCCAGCGGAGGGTCTGGCCCACGAG